GGCATAACATACTATACAAAACATTGTTCCACCTCCTACTTTGGTGAGTAGTGACTGGGATCTTAAAAGCTAGCAAGCTGCCATCTAGATGCAACGACGGATCTCTCCTCGTCCAGAGAAAAGAAGAATGAAGAAAACCAAAATTCATGGAAACAATAGTCCTAGTGAGTGGTACACCATCTGATCTGCAGCCTATATGACTATGAGACCGGAAGAACTAGATGGTGTCCGGCTACCACTGTCATCCACTTGGAAGGGGATCCATGTAGGAGATCCTGAATAGAGAGGGAGAACAATGTGGAACAAAACTCAAAATCATTTGGAGAAAATAAAAGGGGGGGGACCAGGTTTGCTGGTCCGATAGAGCCTGGTGGAACCACTGAGACTATGGCCCCTAGCTACCCTTCAGGTCTGGAATTGAACCCACATCTGTGATTTCCAGCCAAACAGAAGACAAGCATATGAGTTGAACATTTACCTGAGATAGATACACTCCTTGGAGAGAAAAATCATTGAGAAAGAAGGGCTGTGTACGCACAGAGAGACAGCCCAGGTGACAGGAGTCCATGGAGGGATGGACACAGGAAAGAGGTAACTATGGGGAGGAGTGGGAGGGAGCTGTTGCATTGTGGTAAACTGTGGTCAATGTCATGAGACAAAGTGTATGCAAACTGCTGTATGGAAAGTGAATTTGCTCTGTAAATCTTCACCCAAATCACAATTTTAAAAAAAGAAATAAAGAAGGAACATTATGGCAACTCTTACCCTGAATGTTTGTTTTCCCTTTTGGTTAGTTGCACTTTTGTCTCTTTCTTTAAGTTTAAAGGCATTATATCTGGTTTTTGGTTTTTTTTTTTTGTTTGTTTGTTTTTCCTGTATTTAAGCAACTCCAGCATTGCAGTCAATAGATTGAATATGAGGATCCATGTGGTTTATGTTATTTCCATGACCTTAGACAGAATTAATATAAACAAAAGCCTATTTTGTCATCAAAGAGTAGGAGTCAGAGTAATCAAAATGTGGATTGTTTTTACGTCCTAGCCCAACCTTAATGTCTCAGGTCAAATTACTTCTGGCTTCAATGTCCCCTTTTATAATAACACCTTCCTTTCAGGTTTGTTGTGAGAATTCCATAAGAAAGTATGTGTCAAGTGCCTGGCACACACAGGATGCTAAATAAATGGTAGCTCTTGGCAGTATTATCATTTCTATTATTAAGCTCCCTAAAGGAATGAAAAATGTTTTCTTACCTTTTCACTTAGCTTACTTAATGGAGCTACATTACTGTATCCTCCAGTGCAAACAGGCCTTTCTCTAAAGCATGAATTCACAATAAAATTAAATGGATCATTTTCTTGAATTGCCTTGCAGGTTCGTTTTTGCAGGGAGCAGAGAAATCCATATCCCTGGTTCGAGGAGGGAGGAGTGAATTTGCAGCAGCTTTGGCATGGGAGAAAGGGAGATCTGGGCCTGAGGAGAAGACTTATACTGAGTGGGTAGAATCAGTGAAGGAAAATCCTGTTGTGATTGACTTTGAGGTGAGATTAAAACATATTATGGGTAAAAGCTGAAGTAGTGTTCTATTTTTTTTTTTTTTAA